CCCTCAGCCTTCTGAGTAGCCAGAATTACAGGCATGCACTACCACGCCCGGCTGATTTTTTGATTTATTGTAGAGATGAGGTCTTGCTGCCCAGGCGGGTCTCGAACACACGGGCTCAGGCCATCCACTCACCTCAGCCTCCCAAAGGCGCGCGATTACAGGTTGAGCCACCGAGCCCGGCTGAAAAACATTTTAAAAAAAGTATCCAGACGTGGTGGTGCACTCCTTGGGAGGCTGAGGCAGGAGGATCGCCTGAGCCCAGGAGGTCGAGGCTGTGATTGTGCCACTGCACCCCAGCATGGGCAACGGAGCGAGACCTCGAGTCAGAAAAAGAATTTGGGGTGTGGGGACGGAGAGATGGGAGCCCTGAGGGAGACACACACACACACACACACACGCACGCACGCACGCACACACGCTTGTCCTCACATGTGACCTGTCCTGGCCTTGACCCCAGCAACTGAGGTTCGGAGTTTGTGCTGGGCGGGCAAGGGGAGAAGACCTGGGGAGCCGAGGGCTCCTTGTTTCCTGGAGGAAGTCCCTGATCTTGTTTGTATCGGAGAGAGTGACACCGTCAGAAAGATTGAGACAGAGAGAGACAGAGACACACACTCAGAGAGACAGATGGAGACAGGCAGAGAGAGAGAGAGAAAAAAAGACAGAGAGAGACAGACAGAGAGAGGTAGAGACAGAGAGAGACAAAGACACACATTGAGAGAGACAGATGGAGACAGGCAGAGAGAGAGAGAGAGAGAAAAAGACAGAGAGACAGACAGAGAGAGGTAGAGACAGAGAGAGACAAAGACAGACATTGAGAGAGATAGATAGAGACAGGCAAAGAGAGAGAGAGAGAGAGACAAAGAGACAGAGACAGAGAGACAGAGAGAGAGGGAGAGAAAGACAGACACAGATACAGACAGACCGAAGGCCGGAGCCCTCCCGAGCCCCCAGCACTGCCCCCTCCGGCATCCACCCCGCCCTTGACCAGGGGGGAGACTGAGGCTCAGAGAGGGGCGGCACCTGCCCGGGACGGCCCAGCAGCGCCCAGCTCCCTGCCCCGCCTTACCCGGTCGCAGGGACCCTTCTTCTCCAGAAAGCTCTCATAGTAGTGTGAAGGCGGGACTCCTCTGGGCTTGGGGACCCGGGCTGGGCTCGGGGTCGAGGCCATGGCGGGCCTGGGTCTTCAGCCCCGGCCTCTCCTTCCAGCTGGGCCAGGAAGCCGAGAAACAGGTTCCAGGGGAATTTCCTCTTGCCTGTCAACCCGTCAGCTCACGCCCTTCCTCCCTGCCTGCTGGGCGGGGCAGGCTGGGCAGGTCCAGGGATCCCAGGGAAATCCCAGCCTCCCGGTCTCCCTGCCTCAGCGAGGCCAGGAAGTCGGAAAGGGAATGGGTCGGGCTGTCCGAGTGACGGAAAAATCTTAGCTATGTCCGCCAAGACAGAGACGTGGCCTCTCTTCACTTAAATGCTTCATTTCTCTCACCTGCGTGGTGTAATGTTCAGTCAGCACCAAGTCTTGTGTGTGCGTTGCCGTTTACGTCTAAGTAGTTCACTTTTTTGTTGTTGGTGCAATTAGAAGCGTCATTGAAGGCCAGGTTCGGTGGCTCAGCCTGTAACCCCAGCACTTTGGGAGGCCGAGGAGAGGGGATTGTCTGAGCCCGCGGGTTCAAGACCCGCCTGGGCAACTTGGCAAGGCCTTGTCTCTACAATAAATCAAAAATTAGCCGGGTGTGGTAGCGCGCGCCTGTAGTTCCGGCTACTGGGAAGGCTGAGGCGGAAGGATCGCCGGTGCCCGGCAGGTCGAGGCTGCGGTGGCCGGGAGCGGCCACTGCCCTCCAATCTGGG